GGCGGCGTGTAAGTGTGAACACGCTTTCTGCACACTTTTAGATGACGCGTTAGATAATCTTTCGAGCTGTAAACTAAGCAACACCATTCGCACTGCCGATCTGAAGACGTAAAATCATCATTATATGTGTAAGTATTTATTTACATATATATATCATTTTCACCATATATATACATGTGTATATATATACATACATACACACACACGAGTGTATGCAAATATGTATGTATGTATATATACATATATTTATATATAAACATATATATATATATATATATAATATATATATATATATGCTATGTGTATATGTGTGTGTGTGTGTATTTAAATACATTGATGTTATAGATGTGCAGACACATGTACACACATCTAATAAACTATTTTATACTTACAATATCAATTTATATAATCTCAATTGTATTCCAACAATTTCTGAATACATTTTTCCTTCACAATGGGAAATTAGGTTATGAAAATTGTATTTGCGTACCTTTTACATCTTTCTTCGCTGGTTTCCACTTGGACGGCTCTCTTGACAGACCCAGATCCTTCCCGTAATCGTCTCCGTACCAGCACATCAACTCGCTCCCCCTGTTCACAATTATTTTAGCATTGTTTGTCTGTATCTTTAAATATTAATGTGCACGTTATCACAGGCGTATGATCAGGAAAAGTTGACTTCACTACAATTATACTGACCTGCTAATTGCAGAGTCCGTCTGTAGTAGATCTGCCCCTTGTACTGAAATGTAGATAGGTTGGTCTCAGCTTCAGTTCTTGAACAGTTGACGTAACGCATCCAGTTACTAACTGCACTATCTACAGCATCAATGCATCTATTCCTTGTTCCAGTACCTCGAATCTGGAAGTACACGAAGGTGAAGAAATTTTCAACTTTTTGCGTAAGTGGATTTTCTCTTAAAATACTTGGTGGTTTTACAGAAAACCGCAAAAAAAATCATTCAGTGTTACATTCATCTAATATCATATGTTTTACGCCACAGAATACACTAACCTTCCAGCCATAGCCAGATTCTTTACCGGCTTCCGGATGGCCAGATAGGACACGGCCCTCATACGGACCAAACACTAGATGGGCTGGGAGATGAGCATTGGTCCACACGCCTTTTCCTGCCCCCTTCACTTTCGAGTCGCAGACAGTGAGGGGCCAAGGGGTTGTGAGGCGAGCACGATCTTTCTCGCTGCCGTCTCGAACAACCTGTCCAAACATACCATTGGGACGATAACGCTATTTAAAACTGTGCGTGTGCATTTGTGTCTAAGATTATTATGTCTGTGACTAGTTCAGTTTTTAATCTAACCAAAGTTATGAGAGTGTGACATTTTATGTTCGACATGAATGGCATACGCACGGGGTTATCTAGAATAAGGAACAATGGATGGTACGGACACTCTCCCTCTTTCTCTTCTTCACAGTCTGCGCAATCTGCAGACAAAACAAATCATGGTATCTGAATCTATCTACCTCATGTACAATCGTAAGTGCCTAACTATTGTATATAATTTAATTGAGTGAAGTGAAATTAATCCAAGATTATAAAATCCACGCAACGACAACTAGGAAGATGACTCAAACGCTCTTTTCCTTACAAATAAAATCGTCATCTTTAGTAATGCTTTCTTCATAAAACAGCTTCCTTCTGCTACGACGTCGTGGGTACCGCGACTTGGACTTCTCTCCCGAAAAACAGCTGGTTCCCCGACCCTCTTCATCTGATCCTACACCAAGTGTTTCACTCTCAGCTGGAAGCTCTTTCACTGTTACCATCTCTGTATCTGTTGTCAACTGTGACATGGGAACTGAAAAGACCCCCTTGTCCTCTGGCTTAACATTTTCCGCAGCGGAATCTCCACTTGACCTGTCGGCTGTTGTTGGCATTATCTGGAAGATTCAAGAATATTTAAAGATCATTTCTTCATGTGTATTAAAGAATAGATATTTTAGAATGACTGAGCATGGCGACGCTGCAAATAGTCAATAATTTTATATCATTTCTAAATAAACTGTTTTGACAATCCTGATATAATTCTTGTACACGAGAAGATATTGGTTGTAGTCTGCACAACTACCCAGCGACAAAGTCGCACAAATAGTTAAAACTGTCTTGCAACATTTATATTCCAGGACTTCTGCATTTCTATGTTCAGACAGAAATAGAAGCGGACACAGAATCTGGATAAAAAAGGGAGAAGTGCATCACGCAAAAACAGACAAAGGCACGAAGACAAACCTTGACAGTGCCCTTTGCACCTGCCACCAACTTGGCTGGAGTCCATAACGGTATAACATCTACTTGGTCTACACTGAGCGGCGCATCATCGTAGTTCTCACTCCTTCCGGTCCAAGCTGGAGCACTCCACTCTGCCTTCCTCTTAAGACCGCCTCTTCTTCCACAGCCCACGCTTCCACTTTTGATCGCATACCTGTAACAACAATTAATATCCATTATATAAGCTTCCTAAAAGTGACTGCACGCGTCCTCATTCCCTATGCCCAGTGGAATCCTCGCCCTACCTGCTAGATCTCTCCTTCTCGGGCGTCCACTCGTCGTCTCCCTCGTCGTCGGGGACTCGAGGTGGCCTGGCTGTGGGCGCGACGAGCCCGTTGCGTCGCCTCCTCTGTTGTCGCACGACGAACTCCGGGATCTTGGGGTCCAGTCCTGAAAGTGTGCCGCAGTTGTTTAAGAGACTTTGGAGAAGAAATGTGTATGGGCCGATGATGAAGGAAATCCCAGGATCCAGTGAAGCATTTTGGTAAAACCATGATTATAATATTTGAAACTGGAAGAATCTAAATGACTTTGTTTAGGAGTCTTTGCATTTTGCACAAGCGCATGCGCGCGTTTCAGATGTATATCTAGATGTCTGCGCATAAGATTTTGTGTGGGGAAGGGGGTATGTGTGCATATGAATGAAGAACAATAATTGCATAAATACCACATGTATTCACAACTACGATTTTCCAGGCAATGTATTTGCTAACCCTCCGCTTTCATAACCAACGAGTCTTACATGGATGGTAAAAGCCTTCGAGATCATCGTGTTTCCTTTACCTTCTCTTGGCTTACTCTCTACATTTCCTTTTGCACAATTTCTTCTGCCTCTCGGCGCTCCAACAAAAGCTAATACACCACCACTTTTTTCTACAAAGATGGAGCTCGTAAAGGGCATCGGGGGTTGAGTCCATGCAAATCACAGGCTAGTTTATTCCCCTGTAGCTATTGGCGTGTTAATGATTCTTACACCGTCGTTTCAGTCTTTTCTCAAGCGGTGGGAGGAGGGGGGGAGTGAATGAAGTGAGCAATCCAAACCCAAAACCAAAAAAAATAACGAAAACGAGATATTCTGGGAGTATTATAAAGCCTGGTGGGGGGGTCTGGGGGGCAAGCCTGGCCTAGAGGGGGTCAAAGAGAGATTTAGGGGGTAATCTCCCCCCCCATGACGCCCTTTTGCAGTTTATATTCAATTCAATCCAATGGTTTCCGTGTCAACAGCTTTTCTTTGTTTAACAATGAATTTCCTTTCAGTGGATGCCTTTGTCTCCTTTTAAAACTGACACGTCTCTACGGCCTCACTCCAGAAAATAATCCGTTTCCGCTCAATATCCGACGAGAGTGAAACGGACATTCGCAGCGACACAACTCACCAAAGTCTTTCATCGCTTTGTAGTTCCTCAGGATATTCTCGAAGCGATTCTTCTCGATCTCCGGAAGGAGAGCCATTCCTCCGTCGAAAACAGTTGCTTTGCGTCCTCAGCCATCGCCCTTTTGCGCCGAGAAGTCTGAATGTTCCCCGAACCCAGCGTCGAATGGTCGAACGGATGCCGAGGCTGTCAGACTGAGCTGATTTGCGCGGTCCTGGGCCTGCCTGTGGCCGTGACGTCATCATGACGTTTTGTTTTGGTCACAACCATGAATTCTAGTCTTCATAAGCATATTTTTTTATCTTTAATTGTGATAAAATAAAGCAATTAGACCAAGAAGGCCCTCGTCATAAGATACGCCTTGGGTTTTGTTGTTGAAGAAGTTTAAGGCGCTCAGCTGCGAGAGCATGACGTCACGAANCATGTTCTTGTCAGTTCAGACTTATTCAGAGGGGGTTGCGAATAGCTTATTTACTAAGAAATAAATAAATAAAAATATATATATATATATATATATATATATATATATATATATATATAAACTCATATCGTATCATGACTTTGTAGTAGCATTTAATTTCTTCATATAATTCTTTCGCCCCTCCCAGCCCGAAGCTACCCATTCGGCAATTTAGGGCCGGTTAACAACTGTAAATTGGTAGTTCATACATGCACGACATACATACGGCGTATACAACATGCCATATACAGGACACATTAAACCACGTGGCACAATGAACTTATAGGCCTACAGTCACATAACATTAGTGACATATAATGTATATATTGCCAAACATGCATCAATACATAGAAATTGAGTATGATGAATTAAAGAAAATGATTACAATATCTTTATTAGAATAATAGCAAAACCTTTACAAATAAATGGCCGAAATACACATTTTTATTTCAATTCTTCGCAATGCGACCGCATGATTTTGAGATTAATTTCCTCATTAACAGGTTTGAACTTATTTTACTTTTTCTATATTTCTGTTTGTTCCTACTATACAGATCTACAAAGTAATGAGCATTGTTCAATCGATATATATATGTTGATTGGGTGATAACTATAATCTATCTCAAAATCAACCTGACACAATTTTTTCACTCTATTGATGTCAAATCTACCGTCAGCTTAAGACAAATTGTAGATTAAGGCTTGCACTATATTAAGTAGAATTATGGCCTCTACTTTTTCAGACGGGCGTCATGACTTGACACCTTTACCAATCAAAATAATTTCTCGTGATCCAATTTATATCTTGCTTATGTCAATCTAAACATCACATATCTTAGCTTATATCTAAAAAAACATAAATATTACAAACCTTTCTTTTTCCTCGGCCAAAAATCTGAAAATAAGTTGTTTATTCTCTTCTTTTTGCTTTTTACTAGCAGAACAAGGATAAGACTTCCTGGCATTGTCGGAACTGCCATTTCATTTTCGCGCTTCTATGTAAACAAACAGACGGTATGAGATGACGTCACGAGATGCTCACTAACGCCATCTATTGCGACGACGCCGCATTACTCACAGGATTTTGCTTGACTTTACGGTCTTTCGTATTTAGTCTTTGTTGGTAACAAAAGGGGCGTCGGGGTTGAGTCCATGCAATTGACAAGCATTTTGCACACGGCTTGTTTATTCCCTGTTGCTATTAGCGTATTAATGATTATCACATGAGCGCAAACAGTTTCTGCTAATTTGGGAGCATTAAGCTACGGCCAGGGAAATTAAGGCAAAAAATATCGTGTGAGTGTGCCCTTTGGGGGGGGGGGCAAGCCAGACCTAGAGGGTTCAAACAGAGTTTTAGGGAGTAATTTCCTTTTCAGTGGATACCCATATTTTCTTTTAAGAATTGGCACATCTCTACGGCCTCACTTAAGAAAATAATCCGTTTCCGGCAAATATCCGATGGAAGTGAAATGCACATTCGAAGCGACACAACTCACCGAAGTCTTTCATCGCTTTGTAGTTTCTCAGGATATTCTCGAAGCGATTCTTCTCGATCTCCGGGAAGGAGAGTCATTCTTCCGTCGAAAACAGTTGGTTTACGTCCTCAGCCATCGCACTTATGCGGCCGAGAAGTCTAAATGTTCCCTGAACCCAATGTCGAAAGGATCAACGGATGCCGAGGCTCGGACTGAGCCGATTCACTTGGAGCCTCGTGCTGCGTGGGGCCGTGACGTCATCATGACGTTTTGTTTTCGTCATACTCATGAATTATAGCATTGATAATTACAGCTTATCATCTTTTGATATAGGTAAATTAAGCGAGTAGGCAAAGAAGGCCCCTCAATCATAAGATACGCCTTGATTTTTGTTGTTGTTGAAGATTAAGCCTCTGAGCTACATGGGCGTGACGTCACGACCAATCCGTTCGCGAGAATCCACCTAAAGATTTCCCGCCAAAAGTCATTGCGTTCAGGATCGCTTTCAAGGAAGTCATTACTTCAACTGGTATTAGCATTGATATTTGCTGTTCTCAGAGAAAAAACATATAGGAAATTACAAATTACATCTGTAAGAGGAAAGAGAGCTCAATGCTATCAAAAATATATCAAGGCGTGAGACACGGGCAGCCTAGCTGAAGACTTCGTAGCACATTAGTCTTTGATTTATATTTTCCAGACTTTCTTTGGTCATTCTTGAATTTCAGATTTATGTTAAAGACAATGTATTTATCAGAAACGCGATTACTGTGTAAATATTTCACATAATTCAACCTATCAAAGTAAAAGTAAAGACAGATTAATGGTTAACCTCACTATTTTCATTTATATATTTATTTGTTTTTTTTTATTTATTTATTTATTCTTTACTGTTGTAAATGATGCAATCTCACTTTTTAATGGAAGTCTTAGTAGGCAGTGTCACAGAAATAGATTTGTGAGGCAGTAATTAAATGCATCGTTTGATTCGTGTAATATTATCTTTGTAGAATATTGCGAGTTTGAATTTTGTTGTAAGTTTCCAGTGATTAAATTTTCTTTGATTATACGATTATTCGTATGATTTATTATAGAAAACGGTTCTAATTTTGTTTCATTTTTTTTGCTGCTGGCATTTTTTATTTGAAATATCTTAATATGTGGACTATGTTATGTGAAACGTATGTGTGTATAGGCTGATGTAGAAGTGAATGAATTTATATTTGTCATTATGAGTCAGATATCCTGTTTATCCAGTGAAATAAGTTGAAATATGTGATATGGCCAAGACGTTACCGCGTTTTCCCGCCAAATTTACCCAGGCAACAAGTAGCCCCGCCCCTTGCAGCATCTGTAATTAAGAAAGAAATGGTTATACCGGAAGGTTGAGTTTTGAGTCGATCACTGATATCAAGAGATATATTGACAGTAAGAATGGGATTTAAATATGCATTGACTAATTATTGATAATAGCCCATTTGTACAAATGTTTCCCATCCTTGAAGCTGATTGGTTCACGCACGAGCAGCGCTTAGTTCTGATTGGTCTTCCTATAATCTGTATTATGATTGGCTGGGAGAGCCTGGGCAAGGCGCCACCACCAGCTCGAACAGGTTTTTTTGTTGACTGACACGCTCATGGAAATTGCGTTTGTGCTTTGACATTCTTGTATAACGCCAGTATTTCTGGGGAAGAGCTGGCAGTTAAAGTGCTAAAGGATTGTTGCAGTCACAGTGGTAACCCCAAGGACTTCGGTGTAGTCTGGGGAAGAGCGCGCGTTGGGGGCTTGCTGCCTTGCAGAGTGATTTTCTACCCTCACGTGATCATCGCATTGGTTGGTGTTTATAGTATACTGTATTTGCCTTTATAAGAATAGTGATGTGCCATTATTTCCATGTAGGTGTAATCTATGTCAAGTGCTGATACCTGATATGTTTTACATAAGCGGAATTGTCTCGCATAGATGCAAGGGTGCAGGCTGTCTAGCTGTCCTGAGATGTACCTGTCGTGCCGTGACGTGCCTGTGGTGATGTGAAGTGTCAGTGTTACCCGCTTTGGGATACGATGTACGTATTTTATGTTTGTGTATTGAATTTGCTATTTATGTTAGCCATTTTGAAATTATTTGTATATTAGGTGAGCTGCATTTCAGTACATAGCAATGGTATCTATTTGTTTGCAGCTCGAATGTCTCCTCCAAGAAAGGATTAAACCGTGTGCAAGAATCCAAGAGACTATTCTTGAAGCCCTTATTGCTGCAGGCAGTGCAGACACATTGTACTGGTGGCCCCACAGTGTGACGTATTCTGTAGTTGGAGATACTGGGGGCTACAATGTTCGAGACGGAAAGTGCTGATAAATGAAGACGCATTTCTTGTCTTGCTGCCGCATATATATTGAACCAATATCATGTATCAGTTATCTGTTTTAGATCCATGTTTTTCATTGTTTTCCTCGTGTTTAAAATTTCAAATCATGGCAATGACTATCAATATATTTTTGTCTAGATCTATCTCTATCTATCTTATAACTTTCGATATATTGTATTTATATTTATTGTATATATATATATTTTTTTTTTCGAGTGTGTGCATTGTTCTAAATTTTAACAAAACTTTAAAGTATGTAATTAAATCGACCGGACAACCAATTATATTTGTGCTTCCCTTCAGGTGATCCCTGTTGCAGGCTGCGCCGTGAGACTTCCAACTAAACGTTTTGTCCCCGTGACAATGCACCTTTTATGCCATTTCCAAGATTAAGGAAAATGTAGCATTCTTTAATACCACACATAAATTTAATCACATAAATACAAGATATATTGTCGGCCAACATACTGCTCTGTGTTACACTATACCATTATCTACTGGAAGGTACTGGAGGAGGTGGTTGGAATTTCATGATTATGGAGAGATAAAGTGCAGGTATGCAAGCAAAGGGAAGCGTGTGCGGTGGAAGAAGAGGCGGTCACAAGAGGAAGGCAGAGTGGAGTGCTCCAGCTTGGGCCAGGAGTGTGAAACTACGACCAAGTAGATGCTATACCGTTCTGGACTCCAGCCAAGTTGGTGGCAGCTGCAAAGGGCATATTCAGACATGCATATACACAGAAATCAATGCATATTTGTCTATCTGATAGATATACAT